TGGGGGAAGCACTTAAATTGGTGGTCCCGAAAAAATATTAACTACCATCGATAACTATATATCCATACTCTAAAAAAGTTACAAACTACGTTTTTTCCCTTTTTGGATGTTTGTGACTCAATTTTGGGTAAATTGGGCCCCTCCCAGTGGGGGCCGGTAATGTAAAGGTGCCCCCAGCAACCCTGGTTCTAATCCAGCCACAAAAACTTTTGGCAAAACCCTAACCCGTTGCTCCCCCGGGTGCCTTAAAAAACAAAAAAAACATAGTTGAAATGCTTCCCACCCTACCGCTATGATTTCACCTTGGGCTGCTAGGATAATTTTTTAAACTTCCTTTTTACTCTATTTAATCGCATCCCAAATAACACTTTTTTCCTCTAAATTAGGAATAGTTAGAGTCAGTAAAACTTGGGAAATTTCTCAAAACTGTAAAATAAGTTTTTTTCCGAATTGTAACCCCCTTAAAATTAAAAACGGAAACCTTATAATTAAAAAATGTCCTAATAAGGGCTCAGTTTGACGTTTGATTCAAAACGCACACTTTTTGTAAGGGTATTCGGAGTGTCTTTTGCCCAAAGGGAGTGGTTTGGGGTGTGCCAAGAAAACCCTGTTTAAAACCCAGCCGACTAGTGAAACCTTTTTAGGCCTAAGCAAGGCACTACCCATCTTGAAAGAAGGTCCGTAAAAACAACATTAAAAAAATTTTAAAGTCCTTTTTCGGGTCGAAATCAAGGCATTCGATGCTCTTTGGGCAGTTCCAGAACAAAGGTAAGTCCTTCCCCCAAACTTACTTTGATACCATCAGTAAGAATTAAAATTTAAATGCTTAAAAAAAATTTGTAACTAAACAAAATTAAACTGAAAAGGGGAGTTTAATGCCTTCATTTTTTCCCAAAACCTAACAGCCCATATAAAAAACTTTTTTGGCAAGAAAAACCAGGCCTTGGTTTAAAGGTCGTGACTTAAGGCGAATGTAAAGGGTGCTCATGAGGGGTGGGTCCTTTTGAACCAAAGGGGTGGTTTGGGGCCTTAAAAAAGTATTTTGGAAAGAAACAAATGGGAAGAACAGTCAAAAAGAAAAAAACGAATTTCT